GCGCTGGAGCCAATCCCGGTCGACAATCGGGCGAAGGCGGGGTACACCCTGGACAGGTCACCAATCCATCACAGGTCATCTTTAAAAAGACAGTGATAATTCTCACTGCAGACTGGCCTGGATTCCCCTGGCAAGTACATTACTGTGGCCTGCAGCTGTGTTCGGTTGAAAACATAGCTAAAAGGCAAAGTTCAAACAGGAAGCAGGAAGTATAGCTAGTAGTAGTATAGTGACTTGGTCTGACACCATTTATTTACTAGATGTAGGATTACATAACTAGCCACTCAACTACTACAAACATTGAAAACTGTCAGAAGAGCAGTTTGCTTTACCAGATTTATTATTGTGGACTGACACTAAAGGCAAAAAAAATGCAAATGGTTTTTCTTCTTTTTTGGAACAATGTTGTCTCGGAATGAAGTTTGTCATTCTTTCCCAGAGAAAGATTTGAAAGGAAGGACAAGATAATACATTTTCCCTAAAAACCTTTGCCCCATAATCTGTCCCAGGAGATGTGTGTTCATGTGTAAATCCAGATTTCCATGCTGCACTTTGAAAACCCTATACTTGTCATCTAAATAGTATAAAAGAAGGTCAATGTTCATATTGTTCAGCTTTATGTTAAAAAACTGATAACTGGTGATAACAAGATACCTAATTTGACCAGATAACAACAGTTAAAACAAATAAGACAAGCACAAATAAGAATCCAAGCTGTCAGGTCAGAATCCAGTTTCTGTGTTCTTATAAAGTTTCTGGGTATGACTGCAGACCTCTAACATGCTATATACTGTAATGGAGATTCAAATTAAAACTGCTTCTACAGTTATTCCCTCTGAGCAGAGCCTACTATTGTTCATCAGCTGTGAACCCAAATAGTGATAAAAGGTCATTGGACACAGTTAATAATTAGTTTATATTATTATTTATTCAATCCAGACTTATGAAAAAATAATGTAACCTACAAAATACTAAGATTTTAGGTGGTATTCATAGCCACAACACACTGGTGAGCTTTACTTACTCCTCAAAAATGCATTAACACTGCAGAACTGTGATCAGTGTGAAGTGGTCCACAACACTATGTTTAATGTACAGTAACGAAAATTGGTTCATACTCTTGACAACAGAGAGTTAATATCCTCCCATAGGGAAAATACAGCTTTTGTTCTGATGTGTGTCAAATATACTTTAAATCAATGCCCATTATTATCCACTGTTTTTATATAATGATTCCATTCTTTTACACAGACCATTACTAATTATGAAAATATAATTGGTATGATAATATGTAGCAAAACAGAAAGAGTGCTTCAAATCTCCTAAACCTAAAAAAAACAAACCACTGAGTATCACGTCAGTGTCATCTACACTCACACACCACTGAAGTCCATGTTAATTATTTTATCTTAACTAAAACAGATGTTTTCTTTCTTTTTCTTTTAACAGTTAAACTCAACCTATTCTGTTATTCTTAACCGGTGGCCTCTCTCCTTGACAGCAGAGCCAAACCACTGATATTAAATAGAGCCCAAAACAGGCAAGAAAATCATAGTGGTATGCTACAGCTAAAAATACCACTAACATGGTGGCATATAACAGTGTCTTGGATATATTGCTGAAGGAAAATGGTTCTTCCCACCATGAAACGTTTCTATCGATGCTTTTCTGTCCACTTGATAGTGACAGAGCTGCAGCCGTGGGCCGGGGATCTGCTGCCTCCATGTCTTCATGATTGTCTGGAAGGCAGCTGAGATGTTGTTCTTCATCCAGAGACTCACTGATGGAAGGCATGGGCATGGACGGCAGTTTGCTTCTGCTTACAGAAAACACTTTGCTCATAGGAAACTCTGCATCTTTGCTCATGTCTTTATGGGCCTGTGCACCAGTGTGAACAGCCCTCAGACAATGCATGTACAGCTCCATCTCATCGTCTGAGTCAGACTCCGCTGAAGTACTGTCGTGGCTTATTTGGTCACTTTCAGGTTCATTTGTTGCAGTGCATGAACATCCCTCTACAGCAGCGAACTGTTTCTCAGCATTTGATTGGTCATGGGTAACAATGCTGTTGCACTGAAAGTCCTCTTTATAAAATTGCATGCCTGTTGGGACGTGTACATTTTGCCCTCCTGTATTTTCTCTGTCATTTGCTGTTTTGTCGTGCACATTGTTCACCAGAGCAGATAAACCATCTTCAGTCTTGTTTGGTGTAGTGTCTAACCTATTTTCAAAACACCTCACTTCATCTTCCATGCCCTCTAATTTCACCCCCTCTGAGCTTGCATCTGCAATCTCTGCCTCTCCTGCTTCATCAGGTAGAGTTTTTTGCTTGTAATCTGGATTTGCCTCTTGTTCATTTTCGCCCCTTGGCTTTACATGATCCTCCCAGTCCACACCTGCTTCATCTTCATCATTCAAGTATATTTTCATTTCTTCTTCTGCCTCTATCTCCTCTTCACCTTGGACATTTGTCTTTTCAGTGCTGGCATCTGGCATCTCTTTAAAGTGGTTTTCTTTCACTAACTTCATCTCCTCATGTACCTTTCTATCCTCTACTTTAATCTCCTCAGCTGGCTCTTCCTCTGCAGTTGTTTCCATCGGTGTGACTTGAACATATTCTAATTCTTTCGCGGTATCTTCTCTGTCTTTTCCAGCCACAATCTCCCCAATGTATTGCTCTCCAATACTCTGCTCATTCTCCAAATCACCTGTATCTTCATCTTTTTTCTCTTTCTCTCCTGTAGCTGTGATCATTTCCACTAATTCTTCTTCTGTTTTCTCTTTCCCCCTCTCTTTTATATCCTTGTTTTCAAAAGCTGACTCTGTCTCTGCATCCTCCAGCTGTCCCCACTGATCTGTCCCCTCTTTTTTGGTGTCCTGTGCTTTAAAACCTATTGCCCTGCTTTCTTCTTCATCTGTCAATATATTCTTCTCCTCCTCTTCCACCACCACTTCCCAGTTTTTTAATTTAGTAAGTTCAGCTAAACTAAAATCCTCAGATTTTGAGGAAGTTGCTTCCATCTCATGATGCTCTAGTTTTTCTGACACACTAACTGGTTCATTTTGTAAAGCGTCTTTATCTCTGAACTCTGCAAACACGTCACCATGTATGTGATTTGCTTTTGTCACTGACTCAGCTACCTCATCAGCAACTTCAATTTTAGCTGAGTCTTGTGTTTTATCTTCATATGAACTGTGCATCAACAGAGTTTGTTCCTCCACATTTTTAATTTTTTCTTGAGTGTCCCAAGATGTCTTAGGTGTTGTGAAATCCTTTCCCTCCACAGTTTCATTAGAAACACAGTTATTTACATGGTCATGGTTATCCTCCTCTATAAAACCAGTGGGTGTTGATATAGTAACTGTTTGGCCAGTGTCGTCTTTGTTCAACCCATTTCCTCCACTGCTGCTGGTCTCATCACTAACACACTCTGGTAGACTCTGGGGAGGTTGAAGTGGTAGAAATAGTGTGTCTTGTATGGCCATGATGTCTTGTGTTTTACTTTGTACAAGCGTTTCATCTGCAGTAGTTTTCATTTGTGAACATTTATGCTCTGCCAGTTGATCCTGTGTGGCTTCTGCCATAGCTTGATTTTGGGTGTCACAGGTCAGACTGTCTTCATGTACTTTTCCTTGGAGATATAAACACCCTTCGGATACAAATGCATTCAACAAATCCATATAGTTTCCAGTGTGTGGCTGCACTTCTGCATCTCCAGAAATAGAGTTTGGAACTTCATATGTATTTGTGCATTTCTGGTCTGAATGTCTATTTTCGGCTGGATCCTGCAGGGTGTCTGTATGTTCCAGGGTGTCAACTGCTGTCACACTTGGACTTGTCTCTTCTTCAGTTTCAATGGGGGGACTATTCGGAGCATTATCTAAGTATTCTTGTTTTGATTCCTGAGTCTTAATCACACGTTCCTGGGCTCTGTCACTGTTACTTCTATCTTTGGAGCCAGTCTCTCTTCTTTCAGTGTTATGATTACTATGAGTTACGTTTCTATAATTTAGTGAAGCCCATGCAGGATTTCCCCAGTCACCAATGATCTGATTTTCACTTTCCACTCTGCCAAACACCTGCTGATACAATGGAGCCACCACAGTTCCAGATGTGAAGGTGTTGGTCTGCCTAACAACACTGACAGCTGGTTCAGCTCTCATGTTACTAGTACATTCATCTATCATGCCATGTATCTGATTTCCCTCCTCAGCTTCAGAGAGAGACTTGTTATTTTGCTGTTCTGCAGAAGCAGGCTCATCATTTGAATTCAGTTGGGTGTCTGTGGCACTCTCACTTTCTGTTAATGTAGCAGAATCAGACAAATTGTTCTCAGATTTCTCATTGTCAGATGTGTAGTCACGTGCTCGTGATGTTTCATGTTGAACATCAAGGCATGGTTTGCTGCATGTTTCCAGAGATTCCGAAAGAAAGTGAAAACCATGTAATTTGCTGCTCACCTCAGAAAGTGATTGCATATCTGAGTTCTTTTCTGCTGGGTTTTCTTTTTGTGCTGCTTGTTCCGGAGTTGATTCATCTCTATCAGTTTCAATCCCTGCTCCATCTCTCTGAGCAAAGTAGTCCCTCACTCGAGCCATCCGTGCAGCTTTTCTGTGACTTCTCTTGCTACTGTTCCATCTGTCCTCATTCTGTCCATCAACAACACAGGTAGATTAATTTCAGTTTGCTCACACAATAGTTATGCAGGTTTAAAAGTGGGGTGACAATGAAGGCTGCATGTCACACTGTGACATGCTCAGATTAAATATCATCATTGACTACAGTTTTGATTAAATGTAAAAGAATAACATTGCTTCAGACAGCGAGGCAGTGCAAACAGCATGAACTAAGTGTCCTTTAGCTGCACAGTATGTCACACTAGTGCTACTCAAGCTGCAGTCATGTGACATGCTTTGAGAAAGTGCACTGGAGTCATGTTAAGTTTTCTGTCCCTGCTTGTAAACACACCGTGGTGTGTTTAAGCTTCCTTTCTTAGCTAATAATACATCAAACCTGTCAATCCACGCTTGAAAATAAGGCATAGCTGAACATATAGGTGTACAATAAAAAATGAGGTGTCTAATGAGAAAGATTTAGGCTAATAGTATTAATAGAATAATAATAAATCAGAACAATATTAAACTAACTTCACCTGAAAATGAAATCATGTTACAAGCACAAATGTACGTTTCATACTGCATTGTCCTTTAAAGCCTGAATATTTGGCAACTAGAAAATCTGAAGACAATAGAGACAGTGGGTATTTAAACTGAATTGTTATTCCATTATAATAATAATAATGATAATAATGTATTATTATTATTTTCCTTTTTGCTCACCCGTAATTTCTGTTCATTTTCTTCTGATGTTCCTGACTGATCATCAGAGATTTGCTTGGCTTTCATAGTATTCATTTCCTCTCCCTGTTTTGACACCACTGGAAAAAAAGAGACATTTTACATTTATATTGTAGCTGCACTACTACAGCCATTTGTTTTAACTTCTCATTTATATTCTTAATTTATAATTCAACAAAATATATATTCACCTGTTGAAATATTTCCCTCAGAAGAAGCTTCCATTGCTGAACTGTTTTCCACAGAGGAGATGTTCTGACTGTGAATTAATAAAATTGTGATCAGTCAGACTTCATTTATGTGTCTGTCTCTGTCACAATCAACAAGCCACATGAGGGGGCAGTGTTGAAATACATTACATCCTTTTCATTGAAAATTCTTCAAATATTTTTGATGGCATTGACAGTGTGAGGTGCATACATATTAGATTTCTAAAAAGGTCTTTAACTATCTTCTCATGGACAAACAGCTTGGGTTGGTTGCACAACGCCCTGTACCTTACAGGAAAATATTGACTTCACATAGTCTATATCAAAATGCATCTGCCTGGCTAGTTTATGCTTTGCTTTATATACAGAATTCGATGAATATACTGAACTGTGTCTAAAACATCATCTGTTGGTATCTTATAAAATCCTTATCAGTAAAACTTTATATCCTCACCTCGCAGCCTTGAGGCAACTTTTCTTGTTCACATTTTCCTTCTGTGGGTTCTCTTTGTCCTTCTTTATTCCCCGGTGACAGACAAGCACATAGTTCCTGTTGTTATTGTTAGCCCAGAATGTCCCCACAGGGGTCTCATACCGCAGGCAAAAGTCAACTCTGGCTCCCTGTTCCCCGAACGGAGGCACTAAAGTGAGCTTAAATGAGAAACAGTCCATCAGACCATCACTGGAACCAGGGATATACTCTGTCAGTAGGTCAAAGTGGCTGGCCCAGGTGTCCAAAGTGGTTCGGACATATACAGCCTTCATGAAGGAGATGTTGAGGACACGGATCACTCCTTTTAGTATTGTGGTCCCGGGAAGCAACTCGATTGTCTCCAACTCTACCTTCTGGTCCCGGACTTTGACGGACAGCTCCTCAGTAGACAATGGAAGGGTGAAAGTGAGAGGGGACAGGAAGTATTCCTCTGCCTCTTCACCCCCAGAAAAGTCATACATTGGCAGCTTGGGTGTATCCCACATGTCAAACTCCTTCACTTGCACCAAACTGAGGCCTATGGCATCTGCAAATGACACTCTCCTTGAGCCACTCAAGGGTGGCTCGGGCTCTGAGTCCTCATCACTGACAGAGCTCTTTCTCCGTGGAAGAGGAGAAGATTTGGGCCTGATACCGATGACCACGTCACCCTCATCATCGTCCAAGTCCGAGGAGCTGAGGCCTGGCACTTCTAAGAGGTTACAGGGCCCTGAAGGTCTTGGTTCTTCCACAAACTCCATGAGGCTCTCTGTGAAAGAGTCTGCAGGAAATGAACTACACTGCTTCTCTTTCTGGCATCTGACATTCAACATGCTCTGACTTAACAGATGGAGTCGAGTTACAAATGACATTGTTGCAAGGACCAACACTATAAATAGACCAGGGGGACTATGCACAGCAGTCTAAGCTTAGGAGGAGAAAATGTCATCCTCTTTGAACCAGAGCATTTGAGTAATAGAATTTAGAATATAGAAAGGTAATTACTTAATTTTCTTACTGTAAAACTACCCCAACACCTGAAAGTAACCCTCCTTATGTAACCATACTCCCTGGTGAGTTACAATGCTATTTGTACAACAAGCATGAGATTACCATGGCAGCTCTTTGTGTTTTGTTGCTTTTGGCCCACAGACGGTAACATGAGAACTAAAACAGAGCAAATGACCTTTATATATTATTTAGGTCTCCAAAATAATTTAAATCATTGGTTCTCTCATGGTGCAGTAACTACTAAAGGCGGACAGTATGTGAGACATAACCATTATCTGCTTATCCCATATCAAGATTTATCTGTGGATAGGAGAATTACACCGTTCACAGTTATGCATTCGGCTTGTAGCATTTCCTGTGTTTATCTCACAGATGTGACAAAGTGGCATGTCCAGCCAAAGCCATGACCAAAGCAGTTATGTAGTTCTTAAACTTAATGAGCAAATAAGCAAATAAAATGCATATTTTAACAATGAGTAAGGATGTTATCATTGGTGAATGAGTCCCCCACCCCACCGCCCACTAGCTGGATAAAAACATGCTTAGGCTAGTGTTTTGTCCAGCAGAAAAGAACCAAACTGTCAGAGCATGTGGGACTTGATACAGACAGGATACGTTACATTTCATTAATAAGCAATGAATACAGAGAAAGGAAGAACAAGACAACATTTAACAGACACTTCATACATGAAAGAAAAAGAATGTGACCTCCCAAATGTATCTAAGACAGAGGAGAGCAGAAGAAAAACGCAACAATGAAAGCTGCTGTGAGACCCAGGCCATCCTCCAGATAACACAATGGACTCTTCAGACAATCCCTACAGACAAATGCAGAAACAGTTCCCCTACCTGAGTAGTCAGGGTCCGGGATGAAGGAACAATGTTTGATACTTATCGGTGAACGACTGCTTTGTGAAGGTGAGCCTTTGTTAGGACAGTCAGGGCCATTACTGTGGTGTCCACCAGGTTCATTGAGAGACCTCCAGCAGCAGAACTTCAGCAGGCACAGAAAGGCCAGAGGGAGGAGGGAGAGGGAGCAGGTGACTGGATGTCTGGCTTGGTTGGAGAGCAGCTGCTTTCTGGGCAGATTCTCTGAGAGCAGACTGTTGGGTTGGCTGAAGCCACAGTGTCCTCTGCAGGAACCAAGAAGGTGCCAGATAAATTCTTTGGACTTGGCTGAAGCTTGTTAAAAACCTTGGAGTGTCAGTGTGGGCTGCTCCGAGGCGTTACTATTCTCCCGACAGCCAGCAAGTCTCATATACAGCTACACCTGAGAGAGGGCATGACAGTCAACCCCTGACCACCGGGCTGCATGCCTGAGATGTGAATGACCCACTACTGAAAGGCATGAGAGAGAGAGTGGCATGACAGCAGGTTCATGACAGCACAAGTGCAGCTCTTCAGGTTACCTGCTTGCCAGTGTATATTTCCTAACATCGAAGTTAAAACCTTTGCCTTAAAAAGTTCAGATTTGAATTGCACCCTTGAAGCATTACAGTGAAAAGTAGAGCAACATGGAGAATACATGGGAAGTGTTTCTCTTTACATTACCTTTTCTGTCCAATAAACACTGGAGGGCAGAAATTAATCCAGTAGGTGGCAGAAAGTTGCTTTAGTAACAGTATCTACAAATCACTCATTGACGACTCTGAGGTCTGTCCTTCTTTAAGATACAGTATCATGTATGATGACAGAGACAGGCTCCTGTTGGCCTCTGTGCTCAACAGTCACTTACTTTCATCATATCTCAATGTCCAGCATTTTGGAATATCTTTATTATACAAAACAACCACTGGAGTATGACAAATGCTAAAAACACTGAATGAATATAGTTCAAATCTTGAATAGGTGACTGTGCAGAAATGTAACATTATCACTCCTGTTTTTTGTCAGCGTAGCTGTGCTGAACTTTTACACAGTGCATTTAACAACAGTCCAAATTAAAATACTCCTTTGTTTTTAATAGATGTTCTGATATGCTATTAAAAGAAAAGTACAGACGCTCTGTGATGTGACAGTCATGTAGCTGCACAGCTCTTTTTGTTGTTCACAACTCTTAGACACCTACACTTGTCTTTTCTCAAAAAAGAACCCTTTATTTTAACCACGAAAGACAATAAATGATGCTTGAGTTTGTCATTAGTGGATTATAAAGAAAAGTAATGACTACAAAATGCACCCTTACAGTTAAACAGGCAATTGGAAATCACAAAATCATGTTTGTCTATTTATCATGTTATCCAATATCCATTTTATTTTTACATTACTGCAATGTACAGTAGAAATGATGTTTATTGATGTGTGCAAATTTGCATAAGACCCTTTGACAAAGGCAGAAAATTGTCATTACAAATGTAGAGGCACTCGCCAGGCTAGCACTGTTACTTTTAAACCCTTTTAATCCTAAAGAATATCTATATCTGTATCTGATGTACAGTGTGATTCACTGGCTGACGCTGTGACTCCTCCTCCTCAGGTGAACACACAACTCCATCAGTTCTCTCCCATCCTCACTGCAAACGGCTTGACTTGTAGACATCAACTCTCGCAGGTTGCTCTGAATTCAACTCTTCATCTTAACGGTATGTAGCTTTGATACTATTCTGACAGAAACAGAGGTATCAGAAAACTTTCTACATGTGATCAGATCTTATTCATTATCTGCTTTTAGTACTAAATACCTAAACTCCTCTTACTGCTCAGTTTTAGGGGTAATAGATTGTATTTATATCTCTTGTGCATATGTGTGGGCTATGTTTTTCTTCATAGTTTCTACTCGATGCACTACAGATCGCTTAGTGCATGTGATAAAAAGTTTGTTTTGACTCCAAGTGAGCATTGATGGATTTTCATGCCCGGCACATAAGAAGGCACAAATAAATTTAATTACTATATTCTGTAGCAAATATCACAGATTTGTGTGGATCAATTTTTTGATTTGATTCAAGTGATTATCTGAAATTAAACTGGTATTTTACCATAGCTGTCATTTCCATGGCCAAATTTCTGTATGTATTGTAAATACATGTATACACCTTAATTTTAGAACAGATCATTTATGATGCATGTCCATGAGGTCTGGATGATATTAATGTCCAGAAATTGTATTTTTTTAAAATGCACATTACACTGAAATGATGTGCTTTTATCCTACTACGATTCTGCAAATTGCATTGATAGAATTTGTTTGCATGTGGAGCATTGCATTATTTATTCAAGTGTGCTTTCTTTTTTTTTTTTTTTTTTTTGGCTGTATTTATTTTTTAATTACCCATTAATCAGCAGCCTTAATGCATCATTTTTGGTATTTTTAAAATTGACAAATAACTTTTCTTTCTTGCTACATGTTTAGTGCCAAGCCATGAGGGTGTAATGCAGCAGTGATAGTGAAATCTACAGTGTTTTGGTTTTGGAGCTTATTTAGTGATGACTGTTCTCTTCTAGGACCTGAGCTGGGATGCCTGAGTCTCCTCTCAGTCCCACGGCAGCCCGTCAAACCCCAGCCAGCAGCCTGCTCAGCCACACAGACAATGGTGCAGGAGAGAGAATAGCTAATGGGGACTCCTGCAGTGGAGTGAGTGGTGAGAACTGGCAGAGTCTCCACTGTAAACAGGTATCATCCTCCTCCTCCTACTCCTCATCCTCCTTCATCTCTTCGTCCTCCTCTCCATAAGCAGGAAATAGAACAGTCTTAGGCAGATGTCAGGAGAAATACCGCACATCACCTCCAAAGTGGACATCCTCTGACAGGACACCAGACCTGGAGCCTGCGCCTCTGTTGACAGTGGCAGGGATTTCATATGAGACCTGATCCGAGTTCAGGGTTGACACGTAGAACTCTGTTCGTCCTTCATTCATATAAGTTTGTCAGAAAGAGGCAGGGGGAATAACTGTCCACAGATCTGGGTCAAACATATGTAAGTGACAGGCAAATAAGTATGGCTCAATGCAATTTTATGTCCATCTATCACAGTTCCATTCCTGGGAATCTTTATTGTGGGGATAAGTGAAACAACCAAGATAATAAAGATCTGGTCAGCACGTTTTCCTTCGGTCAGCTTGCTCATCTTGTTTTGTTCTGTTCTTTTCTCTTAATTCACTTTCTAAACCTGTACTTGTAGTGGGCTTCAACTCAGAGATTACAGACTTATTGTTACAGACTTAATACACAAACATAGGCGCTGTCCATAGTAAAGAGACTGCTGGCACTGCCACTGGATACTTTTTAAAAATTATTTTCAGTTAAGATAAGCAGCATTGCCTTTCTGCCAGAGTGTGAGTCCAGTCTGGTCAAACACGGTTGAAATAAACTGTTTTCCTAACAATGAACAGTAGTACCCCATGTTTTGCCATCATTTGTAACGCATTGTTCAATGTGTAAGTGCCTTTTGTTGTTTCTGAACACAGTCATGACAACTGCTGCCACCCCTGTCTGACTGCAGAAGGAGTCAATCACTCTGCTATTTGTCACTCATTCAGTCACACTGCACATCGGTTATTATTCTGTGCATGTTTGCCTTTATTAATACCCATACACTTCTATTAGGAGTTACAACAACCATGTAATTGTGTTGCTAATTAACTGGTCTGCCTATCTCCCATCTCATTTAGGGTCAATGACACAATCCACCATGATGATGTTGACAAAAGGTTGACAGCACTGTTTGTAATTGGATTGGAAAGATTCTCATTCGATGGTTATTATTGTTTAACACCTGACACTTGCCGTCTGTCTCACATACGTGTCCTCTTACCTTCTCTCTTCTTCCTGAAGGTCTTTCTGGCTCTGATGGCTCCTCAGCAGGTGCAGCAGCTCATGTCCCCCAGTCAGCTTCAGGCTCTGATCCACCAGAAGCAAGCCCTTCTCTTTCAGCAGGTATCCAGCTCTAAGGCAGGTGCACAGCACTCTGGTTCACTGGAATGCACCTGCACAGAATAAAGTCTGAGCTTGTCTGGGCATACAAATATTTTTGGACTGAAATCCTGTAACTAAAAAAGCAACATAATGTTGGACACATGTGCGTTGGTTTGCCAATTAGCTTAGTTGGAATAAACAGTGAATAAAAATGAAGTGTAAATAAAATCACTTGTCACGCTTGCCATTGTTCTTGTTGCTGTCCTGTCTTTTGAAGCATGGTGAAGAAACTCAATGGGCACAAAACATATTTTTATTGTCAGTAATTTTAGTTTTGTAGTTTGGAGGTATATGTTTGTATAGTAATGCTCCATCACTGTTTTTTAGCAACATCTGAAAGAGATTTACAAGAAGCAACAACAACAGATTCACTTGCAACTGCTTCAACAGAAACCCAGCAAGAAAATCAAAGAGGTAAGTAGTTATTTAACAATGTTTTCTGGCCTTTTTAGCTGGGCTATTGATGGAGTGGGTTTCAAAGTTAGAACTCTGAACATCGGGGGAAGCTAAATGATGGCATTACAGATGCCCCACTGGGTCAATACCTGGGCAACTAGCAGAATAATGGAGAATGTGAGCAGAGGTTCACATGGATGCTACCTCACTCTGCTGTGAAATGTCTTTTCCGTCCCTGTTCCTCAGCTCCCTTCACAGCAGCTCGTCTTTCAGCAGCTGCTCCAGCTGCAGCAGCAGCAGCTCCTCTGGGTGCAGAGACCAGTCCTGTCCTCTCCTGCCCTCTCTCCAGGTCACTCCTTTCCTTCTTTCATTTAGTTTCCCATTTCTTCCATTTCTCCACCCTCTTCGGAACAGCAACTATTGATAACAATGACAATGTCAGCAGTTTCAGTTTCTTTGTGTTTTCAGTCTTGGAATTGAGAGCATGAGTACAAATTTTAGACTGAGTTGACAGTAATATATTTTGTTGTATTATAGCAGAAAAGCACAAAAATAGGCAAACATGGACAAGCATCTTGCAGGATTTTGTAACAGAGACCTACACACTGGAAGAATTGTTTCTTGTTGATTTTACAGTACATTCAGTTATATAACTGTACTAAACTCAAAAGGATGATGATGAAAGTGAAATCTAAAAGTAGAAAATACATCCTTACCCATATTCCAGCTGTAACTGTATCCCTGTACAGTAAACAAAAATGTGCATGCATGAGCAGAAAAGTGCCCTGCACTATACAGCAAACTGCAAAAAAAGGCAATGATACCAAATTTAACATTTATGAGTTATAACCCCAATTCTTAGGGATGTTTGATCATCATAAATCAACATATTTTATGGTTTTAAAGTTCACACTGTACCGTATATTTTTGTGTTAGCTGGTTTCAGCCCTGCAGAGATGCAGCAGATCTGGAAAGAGCTCACAAACAGAACAACTGAAGACGAAACCACAGTAAAGGGCAACCCCAACTCCTCTGCTAACAACATAATGTCAACACAAGTACCAGGGAGACAGTGCGGTGACCAGCGGTCTTCTCCTCACAGGACAGAGTGGTGAGATCTGTCTGTTCGTGCTGTAAACAATTTACAAGAACTGAAATGTTCCACATCAAAGACCAGTCATCAGTAGACATTTTCTTCCATTTAAGGTGCAGGTGGGGAGGTGTTTGTTTAACTGCTAAACTTCACTTTTAATTCCCCTTGGGGAATTATTTTATTTTTTTTATCTGCTTTGTGTTGCACTTTATCTTTGCTGCAGTGCTTCAGCAAAGAAAAAGTTTACATGACTACATGTCCCTAATCAAAAGTAAACAGTTTTCCATTTATTTTTCTGTGTCCCTCTCCAGCTCTGTCATTTACTGCCACCTAAAAAGAAAATAAAACACACATATCTGCTTTATTTGCTCTTATTTTGTTTGTTTTGTACAGGCTGGTGTGGTTTTTAATCATGACAATAATTTGTCCTTCTTTCCCTCCTTGTTTGGTGACAGTAAAGATGATCGTGCCGCCACACACACTCTCTACAGTCACGGTGTGTGTAACTGGCCTGGATGTGAAGCGGTCTGTGAAAACTTCAGCCATTTTATCCAGTAGGTTTTAACACCATCCTCATGGATTTCATTTTCTCCTCACCAACAGCGTCTATCTCTGTGAAAGATCAACAAATGATCTCGGGGACCAGTTTCTGATGCTCAATGTTAAATGACTTATTTTTGATGGAGGATTTTTATTAATGCACCTGTGTGTGTTTCAGGCACATTGGCAGCGAACATTCTCTGGATGACAGAAGCACAGCCCAGTGCAGAGTTCAAATGCAGGTGGTCCAGCAGCTTGAACTTCAGGTAGGCATGAGCCCAACAACAGAACTGCTGCTGAAATGAATGCTAGTGGCCATGCAAACCTGTTCTGTGCTAAGGAAACTGTACTTTTCTAACTGCTTGGCTCATAGCCTTCCAGTTTATTAATCTGTGTTCCTCCTCCTTTCATCTAACAGCTCAGAAAAGAACAGGAGCGTCTGCGAGCAATGATGGCTCACCTGCATCTGCCGTCTTTAGAGGCTCAGTCGCTCTCTGCACTCATGAGTCTACAGTCGCCACAGCCTGATACAGCTGCTGACCCAAATGGTCCACAGGTACATAGTGTGCAGTAATAGCTGTGTGAACAAAGAAAGAGTAAATGAGCCATAAACTAGAGCATTTCAGACCTGTAAGCAAAACACCAAATGTGTGGTGGAGAGTGAAAATAACATGATCGGCTGCAACCTCATCTTCTCCAGCACTGATGAAGATACTTCCAGCCTGTTATTGACCTTGTGAGTTTTTACAGTTGGATGAGTTGCAAAAATATGGTGGTATTTTCTTAGGAACAAAAATCATGGCTCAGAGGTTCCCTGCATGAGATGGTCTGAAAAATTTGAAGCTGTCCAGAGAAATGATACCAGATCAGACTGCATATGCATTTCCTTAAAAGGTTTTTCCATTGTGAGCCTGTTTACATAAACTTTCAAACTCACTGCATTGTGTGCATCCTGAGAATTTCCTTTTCTTTTATTGTACAGCCACCATTATGTTTTCATACAGCAGAGATGCTCTGATAAAGTGGAAGCTAATCATTTGTTAATCTTCTACCATAATCACAACACTCACCAAACAATTTCACCCTATAATTAACAATAATTGGTTTCCTTCTTCTTGCAGTATTAGTGGAATCGTCTCTAAAGAGGCGAATCAAATTGTTCTGTTACACTCTGTTGAAAATCTCCCTCTGTTTTGTTTCTGTCAGTCCTTTCATTCCACTCGTTCCTTTGTTAACTGGACTTGTGTCACTCTCAGCTCCGCTCAGTTGCCCTCACCAACAACCTGCCCTCATGTAGCCCATCAGCCTCAGCCCAAGTGTTCCCCCAACCTCTGGCCCCTGTCAGTGCTCCATACCAGGGGTGTGAGGAAGAGTCACCCACTCATACATCATGTGCTGGGGTCATGAGGTGTCGTCACTACCCTCTGGTATATTCGCTGTCTTCAGGTAAACTAAATACTGTGGTCATGTTAACATTATGTTCACAGCAAATAAATACAGAAGCCGACTGCACAATTTCTACCCCACTTTCCACTGACTTTGTTTTGTTTCAGAAAATGAATATGAACTCTACAAAAACAGTGATGTCAGACCACCTTTCACCTATGCAACACTGATACGACAGGTACATACATCTCTTTGTAAACTACTTTTGTAATTTGCTTTTCACCATCCAAGGGTTTCTACTGTGTGACTTTTAGTTTTACGAGCTTTGTATTCTCTGGTCCCTAATGCCAAATATTTATCTGTGCTAGTAAGTGCCAGTTCTCTGATGTATAAGATTAAAATAAAAAAACATTTTATTGATGAAATGATTACTTCACTCTTCTTCCTCGGATAAAAGGTGAAACAGTTGGGCCTTAATTTGTTTTTGTGATGTGCTAGGTTTTTTCTTCTCCATCTACAGGCCATTATGGAAGCATCAGATATGCAACTAACACTCAATGAGATATACAACTGGTTCACACGGACGTTTGCTTATTTCAGACGCAACACCGCCACTTGGAAGGTACCACGCCTGTAGACGATCAACTCTGTGATCCCAGTATGTGTGTCATACCTGATTTACTGTATGCAGCTTGTATTCTGTAATATCTCCTCCACTCTTTCTCTGGATCAGAACGCAGTGCGCCACAACCTCAGCCTGCACAAGTGTTTTTTGCGTGTGGAGAATGTGAAAGGCGCTGTGTGGACGGTGGATGAGGTGGAGTACCAGAAGAGGAGATCACAGAAGATCACAGGGTGCAGTACAGTAGATCGCTTCCTATTTATCATACCACTGACATCAGGGTATCTGAATACATCACATAATGATAGTTCAGGAATTTTAATACTTACAATAACAGAAAATGATATAATTTAATTCGAAAAAAGTGCTGAAGCAAAGATAGGGGGCTTTCCTGTCTTTGCTTCAGAATTAAAAACCTTCTGCCTCCTCTGGGTTTTAACACATTAACTGTTTTGTGAAATGTAGGGAGGGAGTTTAACATTCAAATAAATCTTTGCAAACTGGCATTACTGTGAGAAATAAAGCACATAATGAAGACAGAAAAAAATGATCTGCCCAGATGAAATTTAATATTTTCCTTCAAAAGACATGTTAAGCCTTAAATCTGTTTTGACACTATGTTATCAGAAATAAACAGTCCTTTCCTGTCTGCTGCACATGTCACATATAGGCCAAAATAAGTTCCCTATTGCATCTATAATATTGCACACATTTGTCTCTTAAATATAGGTCTTAATAAAGCAATGATAAATAGAACTGGAATAACTATTGCCACAGTTTTAAGGCTAATAACAAGGTCCTGTCCTGATCATTCTGACTTTTCAGATCTTTTCTGTTTACCATTTTGCAATTGGTGGAATAGATACAAGGTATTGATAAGCTTGTCTATTCTGGAATTCTGTAACTTTTGTTACTGCAGGAGTCCATCACTGATGAAAAATGTGTCCTCCAGTCTGGCTTTCGGGACTGTTCTAAAAGCTGGCTTACAGGTGAGAGGATGTGCTGTAGTACGTCTTTCAAACAACTGCAGCTTCCTGATTACAGCAGTTTGAACTGTGGTAATAGTCTGATTTTTGGTTTATCTCCTTTGTAGACGGCAGTGGATGAGGTGTCACTGCCAGGATTCGATAAGGAGGGTGTTAACAGAAGCACCAGAAATGAAGTACAGGAGAACAAAGCAACAAACAGCAACAGCCACAGTGACCAACACGTCTCTTCACGGCTCCAACAGTGAGCTGTGTTTATTTTGAGCTCCAAAAATCAGTGAAATGACTGGTATGATGCATTAACTGAAATGTCCTGGTTTTTCACCTCTTGCAGGTCTCACTTCCTTAAAGACGATGCAATGAATCTGAATGACCAAGTGCCTCTGATGCTGACAGTAAAACCAGCTGCTCTGCAGCTTGACATGACTGAAAACGATGAAGAGCGCTTGTCTGACCTTGAATGACCCTTGACAATGTAGAAGTCTGAAACTAAAAATGACATTCAGGGATGTGGTCCGTACAGTTTACAATACATACAGTACTACTTACTTTGTGTCTAATGTGTCGCCAGACATCCTGAAATTCTCACCAAAGTTAACATTTGATCAAATACATAAGCCAAGGCTTTTAAAAAAATATTAGACAGTAATGATAGGATGGGATGGAAAACAGTAAAATATTAACTTTAAATGTATTAGTGTTATAGCTGAATCAAATTCCATCCTACATATTTCAACAGTTTCTTACAGTATTTTTTGACGGGAGACATCACGAAAGCTGCATTATGACAAGCATACAAGTAAAAATGTAATATATAAGTGGAATCTGATTTAATGTGCTTTAGCATACGTAAAGATATTTCTAAGGCCAAAGTTATTGACTATGATTACAATGTAGAAAATTAATGTTGTATTTAATTGTTTTGACTGTCTACAAGTAACTGAATAAAGCATAGTGAGGGTGAATCCCATATTACAAAGAAGGTCCTCCTGGTTTTCACTGTGCAAAGAAATGTTCTTGTTGTGTATATGTATTAAGACTGAGATCACTGAAGTGGATTTTCTTATGATTTTATTTTTAAAAATACACACCAGTATGTCTTAAGTGTGTTTTCCTTGTGTGACTTATTTATTAGACATGTGTTATTGAAATAAAAACTGTTCCAGACATTGCTGTTTTATAAAATCCTGTTTGTAGTTGTACATCCAGCACATTATTACAATACAGTATAATAAATAAATGTAAACCTGTTGACTGCTTAATGTTTTGAAACCTGTGATGAATGGCATGTAAATCCTGTTGTATTCCTGTTTAACTCAGCAATTAGGCCAAATTTAAAAGTCACGCATTGTTAGGTTTTGCCTTCAACTGGGATATCTAAGGACATAATGCTACATACTGTATGCTGGGTGTATGTGACTTTTAGAAAGAAAAGAATAAAGTGCTTTTCTTGAGTAAATACACCTTTATCATTATAATCGGGCCCGTGAAAGCACATTAGCATATGCTGAACAAACGAAATTTGAGCTCTTGCCTTATAGCAGAGTGAGTTTGCTCAGGATCATTGTTTACTTGGATAAATGCCTCCAGTGTTCGTCAATACATACACACATCACATCAAAACGATTGTCCATATTTAGGACAGTTGTAGAGTCATTTATGGCCTTTGGATGTTTTTGTGAAAGCGATATTCTCAACAACACCGACCAGCAGGTACACAAAGGTTCCATTACATTTCAAGTCAATTTTCATATGATTAACAATGAGAGTAAAGTATAAATGGATTATCCAAAACATAAGGTGCAACAGAAATCCCTCATATATAATTTTTATATGGGTATTATGTAGTTACTGACTTATGTCAATGAAATTCATATAAGCACCATGTATTTATTCATATATACAGTACACCTGTGCATGATTGCATGCACCCATACATTAAAATAACTGTGCATTATATTATAGTTTAATGCTGTTGTATAAAAAACTGGGAGAACTTGGTTTGTTTTTGTGTACCATTAATTCTTCTTTATTCCAAAACCGTTACATATTCCTTCATTTATACAGTATTCATGATTGTTTGTCTCTTGATGATCACTGAGCTCTAGGTTTGTCCTGTTTATTTCCTACATCAACGTGTAAAATATTAAAATAAGAATAAACTTCACAGACAAACAGTCCCCGTTTTCTCAGTTGTCTCTGCTGCTCTGTGATCAGCATGTTTGGAGTGGTCACCCAGTGATCTGCTGGGAAGGGAGGTGTTATTAAGTCTCTGAACAACAATAATAAACACACACACACACACTACTTACACAGTAAGCGGTGACTCAGGCTGGCATGTTGGGTATTGTTGGAGGTTTCCTGACCTTCTGATGTTAATAGAAGCAGAAGGATGAAGATGGGGGGAAAAGTGAACAAAATGTAACAAAGCTCCTGAGCAGTCATGAGTATCAAACATGTTACCCAGAGAGCATTTACCTGTGGACGGGACGGAGGAGCGGAGCAGCCTGACCAAAGGCGAGTACTAATGACCGGACCTGAAATATGCTGTAAAATCAGTCTATTGTTTTTAATACTGCTGCTCTGGCCAGTTGTTTTTTAGCTTTGCTGACAAACTGACATCAGCGAGGGCATTATGGGAAACTGCAATTCCCTATCGAATGACGTGTTAGAAAACTCTTTACAAGAGAATCACTCTTATGGTGGAGGGTACTTTTTTTATAGGTTACTACTGTCTTAATGTTAATCATCTTACAATACAAAGACACACTGTTAATGAAAAAATAATAATAAAAAAATAATCACACTTTTACAGACACTTTATTTAAGTATGGTGGTCTCTTATTTCTTTCGTTAGCCTTTCAGCTGACATGATTTTGCTTGCATGTGTTTGAAGGTAGTGCTTTTTTAAAGCCAGCACAGGAAATCCTTTTAACATGTGAAACCATGAGCAGAGGAAATTCCATCAGCATTGACCTCATCAGCAGTAAGTGGAAACCCTGAGACCTGTACAGCAAACAATACAGTGACCCCGATTAAATGTTGTGCCAAGGCAGCTTTGTCTTGAAAATAACTCAACTTTGTGAAATAATGCAGAGCTGGTGAGAAGGAATGTGAGCTGAGGTAGGACAGTGCCTCAAAAACTCCAGCTCATTAACAATTCTATAATGTGACAAATTATCTGTCTGTTTCCCCGCCTCAGCCCAGCCTCTGCCTGCTGCACATCCACCAGCAGAAGCCTCACCACAGGCAGCAGAGTTTAAGAAGCCTCAGTGTGACCTACAGACGTCCAGCTGCCCGCAATGTGGCCTCAGAGTTCCAGAACACACACTCCCCGCTCCCCCCCCGCCAAGTTTGAGCCGTCTGCAGGGCTTATCAATGCATAGCAGCAGAAGGAGCAGGAGCAGCGTGGCCGGCTCAGACCAACCTGCTGCAATGCCAAGTGGTAAGGACAATGATGTAGCTCACTTTTACACACTGCATATTTAAATGGCACCAGACTATATGACCTAAAATTAATATTATAATAAATTGTCACATTTATCTTAGCAATAGATCAGCACATGATATTTGTTTTCTCAAACTGCTTTACTTTTCATGTATTTGTCTGCATTCCTGACTGAGCTTTGGGGTGTCCGATTGGCTGCATGTAGGTTTAATGTCACTGGTTCTTCTGATACTGCTGCTGTTGATACTTTCCATTGAACAGCGTAGTGAAGCAGCTGTGTATTGGATTTAACGCTGCATTAAGATATTTGTCAAGCTAAGTTCCACACTTCCAATAAAGAGTAGTACTTTGTACTTCCTCAAGCTTGTCAGTGGGAAGCACCTGTCTCCCATGCAGTGGATAGAGTTTCCAAAATCGAGATGATTGCTGGGTCTATTTACAGTTAAATTTAATGAGCTTAAGACTATTTATTTATTTAAACTGACACAAGAGTAAATTTAGCTTGGTAAGAGATTCAAAATATCTGTAATTCAATACATTCGGCATTCACCCATTCTTAGTAATTAGGACAACTCTGAACCGTGTATACTGAAATGGCTTTTCTGTTTCTTTCTGCACAAACTAAGCTCTTAAGTTTGCCTTGAGGACTTTCAAACTGCTGAACTTTCTTCCAGTTTTATCAAAGCCTGTGGTGGGCCACTCCTTGTTTATTATTGTGTCCATGTTACAGCTACGATGTTATGAATTAAATCAATATAGTAGCCACACATAATGTACCTTTTTCATCTATGTACACATATTAGCATAAGTTCTGTGTGGGGGTTGTATAAATCGAGCAGCTAAGCAGGAAAATGCTGAACCCCACTCCCCAGGGAATTCTGTCATCTCCTTTTCATTTACTTCCTTGAGTAAACAGGATAAAACAGCTCAATCTGCATGAGCCCACTCGCTCTCTGGTCCTTGTGAGGATGAAAACAATAGCTGAGTAATAACACAACAGTTAGGATTCCGAGAGATGCACTATAACACCCCAGTGAGGTTAATGTATGCAATTTCATCTGTGCCTAATTTAGGAAGGAGAGCAATTATCTTTTGACAGCTTCCTCCTAGCTGCTGTTCATCACTGGCTACCTCTGTGGCCTTTTGACTTTCCCTCGAGAACTGAATGAAGCTTTGTGATTAAGTAAACACAATCATACTTGATCACTACGCTGGAGATGCTTCTGTGTTAAGTTTTAGTTGGCACAACAACAAACATGAGAGATTAATTTAGGGTTAATAGAGTCATTGATCCCTGGCATTGATAGACTTTTGTCTGACAGGCTTTTAGAATAGATATTTTGTGACCTTAAATATTTGCTGCTAAATCACTTTTGTCTCATTTTTACCCCTGTGATGCCCACAGACTCCTGTTTTCATCTACTGCTGGCGTGCCTGTGGTGCCAGTGCTCCATGCTGCTGCTGGGCCTGTTGGAGGCCTGCTCTTCATGCCTCTGTGCCCTCTGCTCCTCCTGCTGCCATGCCTGCACTCGCTGGTGTTCAGCCATCCGCGACACGCCCCTGGATGAGCTCAACTGCCACGCCCACTGCCACTCTGTGCTGTTTCAGTCCTGTTGTGAACCAACCGAGTGTCTCGAGTTTTGTCTGGAATGCTGTGAGATCTGTCATCGCAGCTAGGAGGCAGCTGGACCACCAGGCCTAAGGACTCATTTTTAAGACACATGAAGAGACCAATTAGCACTACAAAGATGTTTCTTCCCCCCAAAACATCTAAGTGGCCTTGCTGTGACACAACTGTGTCATTCTTTGCAACCAATAGATCAAATGCTGCTAAAATAATTAACAGGCCCAGACCACAGAGTCCCCAAAAATCAACCCACACAAAGTTATATTTACTTTAGCTCTTCATACACTGCTTCAATGGAGGAAATGTTCTTTATGTGCCAAATAAAGCACATAAGCAATAGTTTGACATTTAGGGAAGTAGGCTTATTCACTTGCTGATGAGACATCTGGTACCTGAGATACCAGATACCTGGAACTAAAACCATGAACCAATTAAGATTTATATTACCATGAAGACTGGAAGCAGGGGGCTACAAGCTTGGCTCCATTCAAAGTCAAAGGGGACCTCCACGGATTTTACATATCAGTCTGTTTACAAGTCTTGGGAAGAGAAGCTAATATTTCATATGTGAAAAAACGTTGTATATAAAGCCTTGAGTGACTCCAGAGGGCTGCACAGATCATCTGGACTTCAGGTGAGTGGCTCGAGGCCACATTAGCTGTATTAGCAACACTGGCTAACTAAATCAGCTCCCGGCTCTTCTGCTCCAGCTGTTGCTTTAATCTGATCCAGTGCCTCTTGAGATGCTGCCTGGGACTGTAAACATAATGATATGAAATTAGACTCAGTTATGTTTTTCGCAAAATATATATATTTATATTACATTTCTTTTGTTTTCCTCCTCTATCTCCTGCTGTTTACGGAGATGGCTATTGAACAGATTCTCCTGCAGGGTTCGTGCACTGCGCTCCTGAGCCAATAATCTCTGCGTCTCACTGTGATCCTCTTCAAGATGGGTGATTAGCATATAAATCACTCATGTAGAAAAATGCACACAAGCCAACCACTAATGCAATAATGTACAAAACACACAATGAACTCAACAAAGCCAAGTTAACTTAACTTTAAAACAGTCACACCAAAAGTTTGTAAAATATAAGCCAACAGCAATGCAGTGCAAACAGCATACTAACTTTAAAACAGTCACACCAAAAGTTAGTAAAATATAAGCCAATAGCAATGCAGTGCAAACAGCATACCAACATGACTGCACATTTAGTTTGAACAGAAAAACAAGTTCAAGCTGGACTACCAGTTTCATGTTGTTGACCACCGTTCTCATCTCCAGCTCTAGGTTTCTGAGGGTGAGCTCCACTTTCTGTCTCTCCTGAACCTCCACCTGATGCAGCTCCTCTGTCCTCCTCAGCTTATCTTTGGTGGTGTTGTACATCATAGTGGCGTTACAGCGATTTTCCTGCTCCTGTTTCAGCTGAAATCTAAGCAATCGCATAAGACGTGATGCACAAACATATGAAAAGAGGTCATACTCGTACTCTACTTTTCAGGAAAAGGAAGTAATTCTCACTTGAGGTTTGTGACTTCAGTCTGCAATTCCAGCTGATTGCACTCCAAGGCAGACTTAACATCTTTAACTTCCTCCAGGGAGCTCTTCAACTCCACCCTCTCCATTTCTAGCTGGCTCACCTTGTCTGCCAGGTACCCATGGCGACTTTTTTCCTTTTGGATGGTGCGCTCATATTCATGAAAAATGTTCTGAAGCTTCACCATGCTTCTTGAGTCTGTGAGATACAGTATATGGCAGACTTCTAAAAATCACCAGTGAATGAACATACTTATATAACCGCTTTCAAGAGTGGATTACATACACATACAGGTATATTACAAAACTATATGAACAAATTGATTCAGTTAAAACATCCTAAAAAGAATAATTATTTTATTATTTAATAAATTAACATTTAAACCAGCTGAGTCAGTACCCAAAGTGGCCGAGTCCAGCTTCTGAATGAGAGTTGATACGTGACGATAGCCTGAAGTGGGAGAGTCAGTGTCATCTGTGGCCGTGTCTGATGACTGAGTGAGTTCATCAAAATCTTCTGCCATATCCACTTCTTCTGGGTTCTGAATGCAGAAACAAAATGCAGTCTTAAGAACAGTCAGCTTGTCATCTTGTACTGTGTACTCAAACTTAAGTCCATGCAGTTACTGACAGAATTTGTGCTTTACCTCATTTTTCTGTTGTCCTCTGGAAGCCAACCTGAGACCAACAAATGCAGAGAAGTGAAACACTGAAACACTCTTTTGAAACACTGATGTGTATGTTCTCAGGGTATAAGAGCCACACAGAAAAACTGTTGGAAGTTTAACGGTATAATGCAGTATACAGTTCCATTTTTGGAAAAATCAGTGGTTATTCATGCAACTACTGTATTCGAGGGGAAATGACTAAAGAAAAACTGTAATCTTATCACTTATCACCAATATTATAAAGGTTTGTTTAGACTGAATGCAAAGATCATTTCCACCTCAGTGTACTCATGCAAATTAGACCACTGGAGTGTTTTGGAAGACAGTTTATTTTTCAGAAACTGCCATTGCACTAACACGACCTTATAACTTACCAACAACTCCAGCAGTTATCTTCCTTCTCCTTTTTTATCTTCTCCAGCATGTCCATAAATGTAGTAGTATAGGTTTTTGGAAAGGCATGAAATCTTTGTTCAGTTTCAGTTGGACAGAGACCTTCATTCGCTCTCTCTAGAGCACATCGATAACTGTTCATAACGAATTGTTTCTTTCCATTGGCTTAATATGCAATGATGATGCCTGTCAAATTCACTTTGCATCCAGTCTAAATATGCTTCATGGGTTAGTGACAGAGAGAATTTGATACAGAAAAGTGGCATACTGCAAATATACCTTCCTTCATTGTCCGACACTTCACTTAAACTGCTATCGTCAAACACAGAGAGAGGATCTCCATTACTATGGGTTTTGGTCTGAGGGGCTCTGCTGTGCTGGGCCCCTCTGACCAGTTCCAGCTGTAAGGTCTCCTCTGCAGCTTTTTTCTCCTGTTTGTTGCTATTGTAGGTCTGCTGGAGTGGGAGATGCAATTGCAGTAGTGCCGCATTGGTGCTATGGAGAGTAATAAACTGACAGTCAATAAGATGTGACATCTACATTTAGGGGTCTTTGGAGGTGTTGCTGAGGAAAGCGCTCATTAAATGCAATCAATCAAAGCAAGTTTAGACTGGGCCCTTTCTGTTGAATGTGTGACTGAAAAATAAATTTAGCTGAACAGCATTTATCAGAATGAGTTAGAAAATGTATTAGAAGACAGCTCCCCCAACACACAAACCTTTGTTAAATTTAAAGGAGGATTATGGAAGTATTCTTTTGAAACTAGGGACCCATAGTTAAGATTTGCTAATGATAACTGTCAGGGCCTAAGTATGTAGAAAATCAAAATAATGCATACCTCTTGGTGGCTGTAGGTTGCTCTTCCTGGTGAACTGCTCGAACTTGACTTGACAGGCGTCCTGATCTTGTCTCAGGTATCTCAGTACCCAATTCTCCCCGCAATGTTCCACCAGTATCCCAGGAGGCACTAGATTTTTGCACCTCTATTACAGTCTTTGTCATCCCTTTCCCAACCTGAAAGGGTAGAGATTTGTAAACCGGACTTGAAAGATTCATCCTTACTGAAGCCAGTCTTTTCAAATGTGTTTGGAGTAGGTAGTTTGTCATACATAATTTAGTGCCTCCCCACCCTTCTGAGACCTAACACCATAGTGTGGTTACTCTATTTGAGATGGTATTTTCAGCTCATTATAAGGACACATGATTCCATGCAATGCAATTCATGCTCTGGCATTCACTGTAACCACCGTAGAAGAGACTGTGTACTTCCAGATGTCCTCCCAAAACTAAAACTACAACCTAAGGAAAGTAAAAATCCAAGGTTTCTTACTAAATCTACAGGAGCTCAACACAGCAGTATTAAAGTACTATAGAAAGTATTATACTTTACATCACCACCTCATTATACATTAGTTGTTGTGCTTTTTGTGTAATAAACAGTCAAACTGTGTAGCAAAGACAGAACAAAAGTAATATTGCCTTTTATGCTCTTTTCACAGACACCCAAACACTCAAAAGGCTGGCCAAATAAATAAATCTATTCATCTTTTCAAGAAATATCTGCATATATCTTCTTCTTCTTCTTACTTAAACACAGCATGCTTAAAACAAAAACACACACAAAAAGCAAACAAACACAAAAATCCGGTAATTTTCATTACATCACCTAGACAGAGTTTATACAGCCAAAATAATTCAACATAAAATAATACATGCAAAGTCAATTCTCAGTGAAAGCTAAGACACTACTAAAGAAAACACAAGACTGAGCCTCCTGTAGTTTTGGAGTACGACCAAGATTGACTGTTAGTTCCAAAGCCTACTTGAGTCAACGCAAATGACCTGTTAGTTCAATTCTACATATCTTTGGTAAGGAGAAACGTGCAAGATTGGCTCTTCTACTTCATATCAAACCTAAAGAAAATATAAAAATTTGACAGAAAATGAACATCTAATAGGAGAAATAGGTTTGGGCCCTTTGAAACAGCTGAATAAAAGAAGTAAGATTAAGTACATGAATGAAATGAGAAAATTAGGCAATCTAGAGGGGGCTATGTGAGAGGCGCCATCCTCTACCTCTTTCTTAAGTTGGGCTTTTTCTTTCTGCAAATCCAGGAAGATAGCCTTCAGCATCCCTACCTCAAGTTTAAACCTTTCCATGTCCTCTTCCAGCTCTTCATCAGAGACACCTGCGACAGATGCTGAACATCCAATTAATGAAGTGGGGTGAGACTTAGCAAATTCCTCAGGATCCTCTTCTGAACTCGCATTGTTTTTCTCAGCTTCATCTAGCTCAGCAATTGTATCCTTAAGGATCAGGTCCATCTGTTGTACAACTTGTTTGTGAATTGGCCCGTGTTTGGTATCACCTTTTAAGAATGGGCTATGGTCAACATCAGACACTGGTACGGTGTGACCATCAGTAAAACCAGTGGAAGCATCATCCATTTTGCTCTCTCTCTTTGCTGTGGCGAGTTGTGGTGAAGGAGAACTGCTATCCACTAGACCATCATCAGTGTAAAGATCTGGCTCTTGATGAATGTTGCTCTCACTACCTGCGGGATCACTGGCCTGGTTCCCATCTTCACACAGTGAGCTGTCAGTTGACTCTGTCACAGAGTCTTCCAGTCCAGATTCTCTCTGCTCAGGTATGGTGTTAAGGACAATGCTCCTTGCTCTGGCTGTGGGGCGCACAATGATTTCTCCTTCGTCTTCATCACTCGACTGTTCTTCTGTAGAAGTATGTTCAACTGTGGCCTGCTTTTCTTCTATGATGTCTTCTGCAGGATGTCTTGATTTAGATAGTTCTCCAAACTTCTCTTTTAATTCACCAGCAACATTCTTGAAGGTGGACTTTACCTCCCTTTTCTCCACCTCTACCCAGAGCTTCTCGTAACGTTTCTCCCATGGAACATCATCACTTGCTTCGCCTCTTTCTTCAGGACTGCACTGATCTCTTAAGTCAATATCCTTTTCTCCGTTGTCAGAGTCCACACAATGAGATGAGAATGGGTTTAGATAGGCATTTAGATCTGACTCACATGTATCTACTGGATCATATTTCTCCTTTGATGGCATGAGTCGACAAGGAAAAACAGAAAACAGACAAGACAAAAATGCAAAAGCCAAGTTTTGATTTTATATGAAATAAAACATACAACATTAAAATGAGCGTGGAGGCATTTTTGCATTTTCTACTTCCTACATATGGAGCCAGTAAATGTTGTTTATATTTCATTATGGTATTTTATAACCATTCACCAAAAATGTATAATAATAACATTGATAATAACCAAATTATTAAAATTATCAAAAAAATTAGAAGTCAAAAACTATGTTCACAAGAATGACAGATGATTTGAGATAAATTGCAACTTGTTTGGCAACACTCCACATTTTTATGAAACATATATGACCTGATGAATTTTAGTTTTGTGGTAGGGAATATAATCTTTGGATATTTCTCACCTTTTGTTGTTGCTCGTCAGACTCTATGTTACTTTTAGTGTCTCTTGACATTGATGAGAGCTCAGGGGAGACTGAGGAGGAGATGGAGAAATGTTATCTAGAGCACAGGCAGACAAAAAGGCCTGCTTAAAAAGGCCAGTGAGCCTTACCTGGTTTAACAACTGCCTGGAACTGTGGCAGACTGTCAGTTTTGACTGTATTGCCAGATGATGTTAAACTGTCTGGTTCCCAATCTGATTCTGAATAGGAGCAAACAAAGAGATAGAAAGTCATGAGTTTATACTGTATGTTTTGTTTGAATGGAAATGTAAATAACAACATAGATGGTCTTACTGCACTTTACCTTTTTCACTCTCTGGTTTATGAAGCAGAAGCTTCCTTACTCGAGGTTGGGGATGGGACCCGAGATGAGAGGGTGTGCTGGAAAGTGTCTGAGGTGTCAGGTGTGCTGCCGGAGCAGCATCTTTGTCCTGCTCTTTAACAGATGGACTAGAGATTTCTGGGAACTCCTCAAGTTGAGGGGAGGACATTCTGCGGCCAGGCAGGATTCTCTTACTAGTAGTGCTAGCCGAGTCCCAGTCTGATGCATCTGTGCAGTTAATGCAAAAAGCCCTAGGTCAGTGAACAAACTTTGACACTGATGTTGCCGAGGGTGGGAGGACAATTTATACTGGGATAAACAAAATTGCAGTCTATCAAACTGGGGTCTCAAAAAAGGAACTACAACTACAAGTGTATAAAGTTCAATTTATCTAATCAGTTAATTTATGTTTATAAACCTGCTTCAAAAAGTGTGATGATAGACAAAATAAAAAAGGTAGAAAAGTCAGTGTTGCAAGCAAATATACCACTTCAGTGAGAAGATACCAAAAAACAAGCTCAAAAGTATTTGAAAGTGATGCTTTAATAATGTGAATATTGGGTGCTATCCTGTAGGTATTAGACAATTTACTAGCAGTGATTTAGTTAAGGATGTAAATACACTGGGTTTAGGGACAGACTAAGGTACTGTAGAATAAAAACCACCCTCTAATCCTTAGAGATGGGCCTAATCCGATCCTAACTGGGCATCACTGCCGATGTTGACGTCATTCACTCATTGGATATCAGGCCGACAGGGCTGATTCACTTACCAATCCACATTGCAGTCCACAGCTTGTGAGACACGTAACCAATCCAGATTCCATTCCGCATCTTACCATACAATGTCGGATTTTGCAGCCTGTTAGAGCACTTAGAGCCCAGGTATAATAATTTCAGAGACTGCTATACCTGAACTATATAATCGAGTGTCATGACAGTTAGCGGCACAGTCAGAAGATGTTAAAGCTATAAGCTTCCCAACTGATATTTGGACATCAGGTGTGAGCCGAATTAAAGGTGATCCCCTCTATTCATTTGCAACTTTACTGGACCCTTGAAACAATGACAGGCGAGACAGATTTTTTATTAATAAATTAATAATGCTCTAATGTTGGCTACATTATCCATAATTACTCATATTTAATATTTTATTTTTAGTGTGATTGTTTTATTGCAATGAAAGAGCTCTTGTATCCGAATCGGCAGTTGTGTATCGAAATCAGATTGGAACAGAAAAAATGTGGATCGGCCCATCACTAAAAAATATTTTATATTTCAAAGATTAACGGGGGCAAACCAAGAATAACTAAAATAAATATTTACTGGCGTATTTACAGAGTGAAAAGAAAAAAAAACTAATTAAATAGGTTATCTTACCTTCAAGATCATCAACATCACCCAAACCAAGCTCTTCCATTAAGTCTGAAAAAGAGAAAGTACAATGTTAAAGCCCTGCTTCAAAATATGGTCTCCAGGATTTGGAATTATGCCAATCAGGATTAGTCCATTTACCGGCCTTTGGGTCGTTATCCCCTTCAAGTTTGCTCAAAACACTAAGTGGTTCCCATTTTGCTTTCTCAGTCTAGTAAACAGGAAAACATAGCTATCTGATGTCAACAGATCACAATGTATGGCATCTTCTATGTCACTTTGTTCCTAAACCTACCTCCTTCTGCACAGTATCAGCTTTATCATCATTACCCTTGTTTACAACTGTGTGAGAGAAGACATGTCTGTTATATTTGAGACAATACAATTAACTTCTTCTATAAAAACAAAAAAAGATATCCTGATGAAGCTGGATGAGTTTGCCAGAACACTGTGAAAGCATTTCCATGCAAATGAGCTCATGGTTAATTGGCACAAAGATACATGGTTAGGCATCAGACAAGCATTAGGGTCCCTGCTCTGGTTTTAAGGGGACACAGGTTTAGACAAGTTCAGCACCATTTTGACATTATTTGGCCCAAAACATACAGAAACCAAGAAAGTGTTGAAAATGTTGAACCTTTGGCACTTTAAGTCATATACAAAAATTGGAATTCAGTGATAGCAGGCAGGACAGAGAGGTGTATGCTGCATGCATTCTCTTCTTATGGTCATGAGGTGATGGTCAGGCCTCTTGTATGGTTTACATGCCTTTCCTCAGACCTGTGAGACAAGACATTCATACCCTCTCCCTTGCTGCATCTCGGCCTGCCTAAACTCCTCCGAGGCTCTAGAAATGCCATCCTATTGCCTTCCTTCCCTCTTAAAAAAGAGGGAATATAAAACAAGTCTACAAAAGAAATGCAACATATCATTGGAAAAGCTGTTTTGAATTATGGGAATTAAACTGATTCACAATTCCACACCATATTCAGAATGAAAATTAAAACACTTAAATCATTACATAAACATCAATACACTAAAGCACAGTTATCTATGTTTATGATTAAATAAGGTCACACTGTAGCATGAAATGGTGCCTGGAATGATGTGATCACCTAAAAAAGGAATAAATAAATGGACCTACTTTCTTTAATCTCTTCTTCAACATTGGACATCTCTTCCAGATTCTGAGATTGAAAGCTCTGCTTATCTTCATGTGGCATTTTGGGGCTTTCAGATTGGGACTTAAAGAGAAAATCAGTCCGTGAGAATGTGTATAGCAAACATCTGATGCTTAATGGTATTCCAAAATGTGTCCTTAATGTACCTCAGACTCCCAAGAATCCTGTTGTTCTTCTTCCTTCTCTAGACCCAGTTCAGACAGGAAATCTATTCAACAGACATAGATTAATTAAAATTAAACACTCACCAAGTAAGTCACAAAAGAGCACAGGATATCTTAAACATGGACAACTGATGCTGCAAAAAACTAACTGCCAGTAACACAGCTACCCCACTCCCTAGGTAAAAGATGATCTGATTTAAATTCATGGTGCAATGATTAAATTCAAAACAAGGCACCTTTGTGCACTTCAATTTTTGATCAATGTACAAAATGATTATATAAACCTTTAGCAATAGGAGTAAAGTGATGCAATCACTTCCTGACTAGGTTTGATTCAAGGCACGGCTATACTGTTCAAAAGCATATGAAAATAAAAGGACAATTTCTTAGAAGATTAACTAAGACACATCATTTTATGTGACTGAATGTAATAAATGTTACCATGTTTTGACATATGTGTTGTTCAAGGTAGCCACAATAATTGAGGGGCTGGGCAGGACTGTACTGTTGTGGGCTGACATTTCTATGATGCACATGCAGCTGTTTGCAACACGATTAAATCATCACTTATAAATAGGTTGCTCATTACCTCTTTTCTTGTCTTTTGGGACTGCTGTCTCACGAGCAGGTGACATGGCATCAAGAGAGTCTCCGCTCTCTTCAAGCTCATCATTTTCCTCTGAGATGTCTCCTTCCTCCTCCTCATCTCTCACCTCTTTTTTGTCATCATCAGGCTCATCCTCAGTGGAATCTTCTTTCTGTGTAAAAAAACATATTATTTTTAAAAATTTATTTCTACAAGGCATCACTGATAGGAAGAAAAACACTAAGTAAACTGAGAGGAAGCATCTGAAAAACTGAATGTGAACTTGTTGAAATAAACTGCAACAATACAACTAAAATCTACCAGATGTTTTCATGTTTTACCTGAATGACAGGCTCTTCAATGTTTCTGAGCTCTTGACTTTTCATGCCTATGCTTTCTGTCTCATCAAGTGAGTCTAAATCAACATCATCAATGTCAGTCTGAGGCAACATTTCATCAGAAAGTATGTCAATGTCTGAATAATGGTGTTGAAACACAGTGACAGATTCATTGGTGGGTGGGCTGAAAAAACCCTTTTCCCGATTTGGATCTTTGGCAAAGTCCTCTAATGATGCTCTTGTCTCGGGAATGATGACATTTGTACTGTCTAGTGCAACATATATAGTTAATCTAGCTTCATGTTCATCTCCGACGTCAGACCCTTTAACTGACTCACTGCCAAAATCATGCTGCAAGTTTTGCTCCTTGCTGTCAGAGCCCTCACTTGTCTCATCGTCTTTGCTGGGACTGTCTTTCTGAACACCCCTGGGCTCTTCTTCCTCAGGGCAGTTATCCTCTGGAGACTCATCATTTCCATCAACAACAAATTGAGGAACCTCTTCATCATCTTCATCTCCATCAAGTTCATCTTCTCCAGGTTCTTTATGTAACTTCTTGTCCATTGCGGTTGGAGTAAAAACACACATCTTCAAGACGTCACCACAGTCTGTAACACCTTTACTTGTCTTTAATGTCTTCTGCTTTTCTGATTCATCACTGTCATCTTCATCCCAACTACCATTATCACCGTTCTTGTTTTTTGATTCCCATTTTTCTTCCATTTTCAACGACTGACTAATTGATTCAACATTACTGTTATCTAGTATTTGGTCTCTGGTTGTGTTTTCATCCTCCGCAGGGGAGAGGTCATTTGACTCTTTCTCAATACTTTCTTTATCTTCTTCTTCCCAAAAACCATCAGAACACTGCGGCTCTCCGGTCTGGTTTGCTGTTAGAGTTGTTGTAGAAACTGGAGGTACTGCGCTTTTCAAATGCAGTGTTGCTGCTTCTGGTTGTAAATCACTTTTCTGATCAAGAGTCTCCTTGCTCACCTCATCCTCTCTGGGTAAATCAGTGTCACTGTCTAATGAGGAGCCCCATGAGGACCCGTGTTTGTTTTCGTTGAGGGCTTCCTTTTTTGATTCATCTTCAGAATCGAATGAAATGTCTATATTTTTTGTACCAACCTCAGGTAATACATTTCTTTGATTAGTGAGCACTGTGCTGTGTCCAAAACCACCAGTTTGAATATCCACTTCTTCATCACTGTCATTCCACACTGAATCACCACTGTTGTTTTTATTGCTCCAGGAGTCATCATTGTCCATTCCTATTTCTTTCTCAAATACTTCCACCTTTATCTTGCTAGAGAAATGCATATCTGTGCAACGGCTGGATGGTATGGGGCCTCCTAGTGAACCCAGGTTTGACATCATGTTTTGGTCTAATGATGATATGCAATCCTTCCCAAGGCTGTCATCTTCATCAGAAAATTTTGATTCAACCCTAATGGCTGCCACAACACAGTCCTCCTCTGCGTTTAATGTTGCTGGAATTGCATAATTTGCTGTCCCATTTGGGTAAATAAGGTCAGTATTTTGAGTCTCTGTTTTAGCATCCTTCTCTGAGGTATCTTCCATACCAGGACTAGATCCACTGCTGTAGAAGTTGTAAGTACCTGCTATATTTTGAATATCAACACTGTCAATAATATTAAGACCACTAGTAACAGGGGGATTTTGTATTACATCAGATCCAGTATGGTTGGCTTCAGCAGAAGACACACAGTTGTCACTGTCCTGCTCCTCACATTCTTCATCATCTTCACTTTCCTCATCATCTTCATCCTCCTCCACTTCCTCTTCTTCTTCATCCTCCTCCTGTTCATCATCTTCTTCCTCCTCCTCATCTTCTTCCTCCTCCTTCATCATCTTCTTCCTCCTCCTCCTCCTCCTGTTCATCATCTTCTTCCTCCTCCTCCTCTTCAGAGTCTTCTTCTTCCAGGTTTCCCTCATGAAAGTCAGATCTTGCTTTACTACTTAAAGGCTGCTCTGAGTGTTTGCTTTCCCCCTGCTCAGTTGCAGTGTCTGCTTGTTTTAAGCATTAAAAGAAAAAAATAGATGGAGAGAAAGATGTCACAGAAATGCATATGACAAAACTTGATTACAAATATTTGACCTTTTCATAGCTTAGAAGAGGGGTCGAGGTCATCTGGGATGGCGTGGAAACAAAGGAACTGGGACGGGGATCTACTGGGTGATGCAGAGCTTTGATAGATGGTAAAGCCTTAGGATGGGATGGGATTCTTTGGATTCTATTCTCACTCTCTGACTCAGATTCTGTACCATTCAAGGATCTGTCAGGCAGTGCAGAAGCTACAGGGCAAGGAAAGAAAATGATTACCACCAGAAATCACAAACTATGGAGAGACACCAACAAGTAAATAATGCTGAAAGATTCTTGGTACCTTCTCCCTTTTTAGATGCAATCATCTTCCTTAGGTTTACCTTCTGTGGGTTCTAAAAGAAAGTACATTAATTAAAGATTTGAACAAATTTTAGAAAAGACACTTTTGAAGAAAAAAGGACCACTAACCTTTTCAATGAAGTCATCATTTTCTGATGAAGGCCATTCATCCACAGCACTTTTTGAAACTCTGCGGAGAGAAATAGAATGGTTTGAGCTGGGAAGTCAACTATGATTCCAAGTTGCAGATCACAAGAGGAAGAGTGTGCTCACCGACTTAGTGAGTCCGACTGAGAGTTCTCCTCAAAATCTGCTGCAACAAATGAGAGAAATGTTTCTTCAGCTGATCAACACTTAATCTAATCTGAACCACTCTGAGAAATGTATATGTCATAATTATTAAACCTTGCAAATACCAAGATTTTGAGCACATCAGAATTTTAAAAAGCACTACAATCTAATCAGCACAAAACGTTTCTTTTTGTGAAAACAGAAGTAGAAGGGGAGCCCAGAGTTATTAACTGTTAATGATCTTTACTGATAAGAAACCACCAGCCTTTGACTAATTTTGCTAATAACACTGATCTAAGCAAGGTAATATACCTTCCCCTGCTTCATTTGCTCCATGTTCTAGATCCAGTCAAGAGGTAATGCATGAAGAATAAATGAAATAATCAAAGTCAATAATGAACAGACACAATAATAATAATAATAATAATAATGATAATATCCTCACACCACTTTTATTCATTATTATGTGATGAAACTTGATCTCCCTACCATCTTTTTCAGTGGCCGGGCCTCCCAAAGAGAAGCCTACTTCACTGTCTTGTGAAGGGCTGCCCAACAGCATTTTTTTCTTGTTTTTGCTTGGACCTTGATGTGATAGGGAGGGTCCATCTTTTCTCTGGGTACCGTGCTCAATGATTAGGAGGGAACAACTACAAGAGAGCCAAGACACATACAGTGTCATTATGTTATAAACCTTAATATGCTTCTGAGATTTCAAAAGAATAGAACTGTAAAAATTGATTACAAATGAATAAAATAAATCATATATTACTCATTTGTGGCCTATGGTTATATAGTTCAGTCAGTTCTGTGTCCCACTCACACCACAAATGTAAAAATTACAGAAGAAATACCATTCTACGTAGGTCCAAAGAAGAAAAAAAAGAACATCTTACGGATGATGTCCATTCATTACTGCGTAGTCATCAGCTGATCGTCCACTGGTATCCTTTAGTGTGATATCCGCATCAAACTTCAAGAGCAGCCGTAACATACCGATTTGTCCACTGCCAGCAGCTATCATTAATGGGGACCTGCATGTGTAAAGACAGCAACAAGGCCAACTATACAGAAATATTACATAAATGTACACTATCAGTGTGTCATTGTTTAGTACTGACTTTTGATCCTGGTCCATACAATCCACATTGGCACCCTCCTGAAGGAGAAATTCCGCCATATCAATATGGTCCTCACGGACTGCAACAATCAATGGTGAAAATCCCTCCTAAAAATTAGATCACAGAGGACAAGTGTCATCACAGTAGCAATATATCACCCTGTGCATAATATCATAAGGGGCAGAACCATTTTTATATTTTATTTCTGAATATCCTTTATTTGCATGCAGCATAGGGCATGTATTGCTATTGTCACAGAAGCCTACAAACTAGGGATGCACTGATCGATCAGAGATTGGAAATGGACGGTTTCCAGTGTAATTGGTCAATCACTCTGAGAGTTCCTATTCTGTGCTGATCAGATTTAGAGGCACGTTGTGCACACAGCGGCACAGACCAAAAGCTAGCGTGTTGCTACTGCACCCCTCGGGGTACGCTGTAATTTGCATCCTGGGTAGCGGGCTACCACATGGAAAAAATTGTACACATCTACACACTTTCAAAAATCTCGTTTATGAACTTTTGTAAACGTTCCCACCCCTAACACAGACACATAAAAAGCACAACACATCTTTCTCACAACAAATATTCAGAATTTTCTTGGAAGGGAAGGCACAGGCGTGTAAGTGAAATGGCTCTGTTCTATTGTGGCATCCTGTACCATGCCCAATACTGCCCAATCCTTAGTGTTTTAGCTGGATCAACTAACAAATGTGTCTGATAACACCATACTAAATCTGTGTTAACTTAAAAGAAATTATACTCCGGAAAGCAGAAAAACATAATCACCTTATTTTGTGCATTGATCTCAGCCCCATGCCCTAGCAGCAGGAAAGCAGTGGAGATGGAAGGGATGTTTGCTGCTAAATGTAGTGCTGTATTGCCATTGATATCCGTCAGGTTAGGGGCGGCATGATTCTCTAGCAGTATGCTCACACAGCGCTCATGCTGGCCCTGCACCCCCTAATAAAGTGAAGAATTTACATGAATGTAAAAAAAAGGCCTGACACAACGCTTGAAACAACGTATGAAAAAAATGGCAAAGTATGTTGTCACTGTGTCTTGGAGTATCATCAGCCAGGATTACCTTCATTAAGGCACTTCTATTTTGATTGTCATATAGGTTAAGCTCAGCCTTGCACTCAACCAGGAATTGCACAATCTCAGCATGTCCACTGGCACAGGCAATGTGAAGTGCAGTTCTGAAAAAGTAAAGGAGAGATTTTCTCATATGTAAGTGTTCTTGTTCTTAATAAAACACAACCTGTGACAATGACTTTTGTAGAGCTCTTTTTAACCTAGGCTTTACTTTGCTAGTGCGTTTGTCAAAAAAACAAAAAACAAACATGTTTTCAAGATTCCATTACTTCACCACAGAGCCTGACAAACTATTTTAATGATTTTTGGAGCACAACTGTTCCTTGCAAGGGTTAATGTCTTAATTATGATCACTGCCATTACATTACTATCATATTTATTTGATAGATGCTTTTATATCAAGTGACTAAAAATCAGCACATTAATATATTGTTACAATAAATAAAAGTTTCATTTAAGTATATCAGCATTTTTGATTTCCTTCAAGAAATTACTGGTGTGACAGTTATTAGCTATGCAATGCTGGTTCAGTACTAATGTAAAAGAGCACATGTCTTTTACTTCTCAAATGGGCTGATAAATATTGGTTAAAGGAAAATTTCACCAACTCCAACAAATTCAACATATTATTTTTCCCTATTACAATCTACTGTGTAAATTGCCTCAGGTACTCAATTTACATCACTCTGTTACTTCTGATACACATAAATTGTAAATGGTAACTAGAGCCTACCTTGAAACATTAGTAGAAATAAAACAATGGTGAGGCATATACATTTTACTTGCTGCTTGTTGCCAGATTAGCACTACTACTACTATTACATTAGTACTACTTTGTGAAAACAATGCATACTGTTCAGCAATGTACTGTATACTAGGGATGTCACAATATCATTATCTCTCTGGCAGTGTAATAATATGTTTAAAGTTTTTTGTTTGTTTGCTTTATTTAAAGTGCTCCAATTAAAAGGATCTATTTGCACAGATACCTTCATCTTCATACCTTCAGAGAACAATTTAGCAGAATTTTTGATCAACTAATGCATTAAACAAAGAAAGCCTGTTAACTGAGTTAAAGGGGATATAAACAAGATAAAAAGAAGGATGTATGGAATTTTATTAAATTACTGAAACTGAGTGCATCACTCAAGAATATTGATTGCATGAGGGCAATTAATACAGCAAAGACTTGCAAAAGTAAAAAGTGCTTTAATTCTACTTACCTGTTTTCCTTGTCACGTTGATTGATATCATTCTTTTTAGCAAGCTGCTTCAACTTTGCCAAATCACCAACTGAGGCAGCCTTGTGAATCTTCCCAAGGTCTTTTTCTTTCAGTTCATAGCCAAGAGAAAGCACACTTCCACTGTCAGGAGTACCGGATGTGTGTTTCTTTTTCTTAGTAAAGCTGAATATCTTCTTCATTGTACACTGCAGCACCACACTGCTTTTGCACCGTCACTAACGTTACCTGTTACTCATTTGGTGCTGTAGGAGCACCACAGATGTATCTCCCATCCCTAAAAGTAAGACGTACAAAGCGGATTAGATCTGCAGTAATGCTTAATGTAAGATAAAGGTTAAATCACCCTAGTACCTTAAATGTGGTTCCTCACACAGTAGTAACGTAGCTTTAGATCGTATACGAGATGCGATTTACCTCCAGTATATAGAGCGGTAACGTAATAACTGGTATAACATTGAGCATCTAATCTGTGAGAGCGTTAAGTAGCGGTAAACACAGCTGTCATACTAACTGCAGCGTTTCAGAAAAGGCTATACTCTTATCTCCTTAAATATAACGTTACCTTACACCAGGACGGCCTCTACATTATTTACCACTTGGATCTGACAAGGCATATTAACTTGTTAAGACTTAGATGGACATAACCTGACACTGCCCCGTGTTATTTATATGAATGTAAAGCTAGTTAGCTAATGTTATAGCTTGTGGCTTGTTACCATGGTAACTGAGTCAAAATGGTATGCTAACGTAATCACCAGACGTTGTCCACTTTGCTAATGTAGATAATTAACGTTACATAAACAAATTATTTTTAATGCTGTTATGTAATACACATTACATCTACTATAACCTTACCAAAAAAAATCTAAATCATGTGTTGCCTAGCAACATTACCTAGCTTCATTTGGCTTCGTGCTGCGCCTCCCACGTCGTCACTTTACAAATGATGTAAACCGCCACATTTAAACTGGATGTGCAGTAGAGCTAAGCACAGCAAGCATTGTTATTACAGCACTCAATTAGCAAAAGCTAATTTTTAGAAGTTGTTTTGGGTGAGATAAGTCGTTGCTCGTCCAACAAATATGTAAGATTTGGTAGCTGATGCTAATGCTAACCTAACCTAACATAACCTAGCGTAATGCAAAATGAACTTAACGCTAAGCCTGCTACGTTAATTCGGTATTAATTAGCTAATGCTAAAAATCAAAGCTGCAGTGAGTAACCGGATACTGAGAACAATGTTATAAACGGGGTATGTAAAGGCACAGTACACCACTACATTTCATTTATGATAAGTACAGCATACTGACTCAAACACTAACCTGTTGATTGTCGGAATCAGACCACTACCTCAAAGCTAAAGCTAACCATCGTGTGGTTAGAAAAACTTGCTGGCTAGTATGTTCTCAACTAACCAATCAGAAATTAGTTAGCCTTAACGACCAATAGGCGGCTTCGATGTTTGTAAAAGTTTGGTTTACAAGCCACGAAGAATTCTTTGTGTAATAGGAAACGTTTACCACGTGATGGAGACATTTGTCATGAAATCATGTCTGCCAGTGCTGCTTTTTCATTTAGAATATGAAACAAAACATGAAAACAAAAACTAGTTAACTATTCACAATTTGAATGTAGGTATTAACCTGCTACTATGAGATGTGTTAATTCAAAACTACAAATAAATGATAAGCAGGTAGGGACCCAACAGACTTGTGGCTGTGGCAGAAATCACACCTGTGACTTATTTATTCTTTTAATTTGCAAGCTCTTCAGGCCAATCGTTTTCCAGAGTGAACTGAGGGGTGGGGTGGAGTATGAGGGAATAATAATTATATTGGAAATAATAGAAACCTTTTTGTGAATTCAAAAGAGGTGACTCATACCTAAAGTCAACAAAGATAAATGCAATTTCCCATGAGTTCAGTTACATCACCTGCAGATCTAACATTAATTGATATTGTACTACTGATAATATGCTCCAAAAATACACTTCCTCATTTAGGGTCTAGCATTGAGTCGTAGGATATCACATGTAAGCAACTTTAAAAGCAGAAATTAGGAAATTTTATCCCTAAATATGCAGATGGTTAGGATATTGCATGCAATAAGATGCTTAAATGCTACAGTGACATCTAAAATAATGAAGTCAAATGTAAAAATTCAGCATTAAATGTTGCAAGGCAAGGCTTACAATGTTAATTGTCATCAAAGCTCTGTCAGAGAGGTGTTGATCCAAGTTTTCTGTCATTTTGTAAAATCTTTGTGGACAAATGAACAGAAACACTTTTGATTCAGTTCAATACCAGTCTATACCTTCAAGAATTTCCATAGAAATGAATTAACACTTTTTGATCCAATGTCAACAGAAAATGAAAAGGTGAGAGAACATGTTTATGGGATTGCATAAAAAATTTAAAATGTGTGTTTCTGCTTCATCAGTAGGGGGAAAAGAGTCGTTATAGCCTAACATTTGGCAGTACTGAGAAATTTAACATATTTTTCTAATGCCAAAATATTTACGCTTTACTGCCAGTAACTACATTTTGCCTACAGAAGTGAAGTCACAATTACAGTGTCTAAAAGGTGAGTTAAAAAAAAGCTCAAGGGACACCAAAACAGAAAGCTTCAAATGTCTCTTGTGCTCAGTTTTTCAGGGTAAAGGTTTTCTTGAAACATCAGGCAAGAATAAAATTTTATCACACTTGTTTATAGGCTACTGTCTTGCCAAAAAGCCCCTTAGATAAGGTAAATCAAAACAGTCGTCTAAGAGCTGTTAGCTGTTCAACTATTGTTGAATCTCCTATTGATCCTGAAACTAAACTTTCATTATTTTCCACAGGTTTACACAATACAGGCAAATAATGGAATTCACTGAGACCTATTTATGGTATTACACAATACACACTACAACAAATTGCATGTCTTTTTAGGTACTGATTATAGATGACAGATATTTTCCTTCATGCTGTAGATGAAAGTTTTTAATTTGATACTGAACTAGACTGTCCAAGCCCCCAATCAGTGTTGCAAAAAAGAGACAGAATCTAGAGAATAGTTATTTTCTTTGTCATACTCTAATTTAATTTGTCACTCACTCTGCTTGGACCAGTGGCATATCTCACAGAGTAGCAGGTGGATCTGTCATAAGAATGAACACCTGGGACACGCTCACCTGTTATCAGCCACTCATACATTTTTACTGTTGTCTCATCTCTTGAGGCGCCTGTCTCAGCTCCTCAAGATGAATCAGTTTTATTTGCTGCAGGTGCACAGTACTATCATTCCTCCAGCTCCTCATCCCTAATTACTAACTATACTCTCAAACTGAAAAGGACTTGTTTCAAACCATGCACCCAACTGTCCTTAGACTGGTCTATCTTCACTGGTGTGAAGATAGAAATCTAAAATATCTGTCTGACCCTTAAAAAGGGTTTATTTAATTTAAAGTTAAGAACAAGGAAAATACAGTGATACATCACTGGCCACTATCAAAAAGCCAAGATAGAATGTAACACGCTCGAAATATGAGAAATTGCAAACATTTTGAGAGTCATCTAAACACAGTTATATAGCCTATACATAATATTTGCACAGTACCTGTACAGAGGAAATGCACAGGGAAATGAGTACTGACAGTACCTGCCACAGTTTGCAGAGTGGAGACTCCGCTCATACACGCCTGTGTTCATCCACTCACTGCAGCCAGTCATTGGCTTGTACCAAATATTCCTTCACCACCACCCCTACAAACACAACAAGCAATTAGAGCAAAGCATTGATACAAATCCACCCTGTTACATGTAGCATAAACATGGATTTGGCTTATCTGTCATGTGATTTGTTGTCATTCTAAATTTGCTTATTAAAAACTGCACCAAAGTAAAGTAATACAGTAGTGATTTAACTGAACTAACATAAATGTACTTATCTCCTCCTTCCTAACTTTGATCATCCTTCACCAAATGTTTTTAAGGCTATAGTATCTGCAGCATACAGTGCAATAAGACTAACAGTATTCAGCCATACTACCAGCTACACAGTGGGGCTTTAATCTACAGCAGAGTAAATACTACTGTAACCTTGTGCTAATATGCTCACACTGACACTGCTTTGAACATGCTATGACCGTCACCTTAGTTTAGCTAGCTAACATCTGGTAGGCTACTTAGCACAAAACAGAAAGCACATATGAATTCAGGATCAGTAACCTTTTCAGTGAGTCCCGCCCTGAATGAACAATGAGGCAAAACAGGAAATGGAGGCTTAGAGGTATTTTTTAATCATTAGTGGCAGATCATTTATAATTGCATCTCAAAATAACATCTTGGACTGAGCATTCACCAGTAATAAGCCTGATTAAATTCTCATCTTGTATCATTTTGCTTGATACGCTTATATATTTCATTTAAAACTTATGCTTCTCCTTCATAAAGTCATGGTTTAGTTTTCCTTTAAACCAGAAAACATGATATTCTCATACTGTATGTCACATGATCTGTTTCTTGCAATTTAACAGCCAGTTACTGGTCTAGGCCTACAGTGCTTGACATTTCCTTGGTGGTACATGAGTGTGAGTAGCTGGGAATTGAACAGGGATACAATATTCACATGGATAAGCCATTTAGTCTGAGGAAATTAGGTTTAAAGCAGGAAGTGAATGATGTCCCTTATCTGTTTTATATGTGAGCTGATGTCATTGATGTTAAGAAGGCATTCTGTGGTAAGGCTAATTAAAACAGCTAAATGACCTTAGACTTTAGGACACTTCATTTTTAGCTCAGGATTGGGCAATATTTAAGGAAGTCGATGCAGAAATATCCTCTTCCACAAATTGTTTGTCATTGCTCTCCCTTTAACCTCGAGGA